AATGCAGCAATCTTCAGATTCGGGGCATGGCTCATTGCTAATTGTTATACAAACTTTGAAAATGTATTTATGTGAGTACACATCAGTCCAAAGACAGTGATTTCAACACATGGTAATTGTGTATAAGTCTAGTTACTGAGGCAATAATGCAAGAGGTCCAACAGTTTAGAATCTGGTCAGGAGTTGAATTCAGGCAGAAGGGTTATTTCTGGGAGAGGAAGCTTGAAACAGGTGTGTTGGCATGTATAGAGCCTGGCTCAGTTTATTTACTATGGAGAAACTTTTACTGTTGACACTTCATTGCAGACAATGGGCTTTGTGAAATGCTTCTGCGTGGAGAAATTACATACCATTAGTCACCCATAAAAATGTTTGTAGCTGTAAACCTCTGTTTCTAATCTTTTGTGTGTAATTTTTCTAAACCATAAAGTTGTAAAAATGTCACAGTTCTCAGATTGATAGATAGTGTTAAGTCTGTTTGTTTTAAATACGGAAAACAATATTTGTAATTTAGGAACAATAATAAAAGTCTCTCTTTAGATGAACTGAAAGATGTTTTGTGTTTGGTTTTCAGAGCCTTTTATTCAGTTCTATATGGCGTTATAAATGTTGGACTGTCCACTTCTTTGGCACCGGATTTTGGCAAAGCTAAAGTTTCCGCCCAACGAATCTTTCAGCTTTTGGATCAGAAACCCTTAATTGACAGCTATAGTGAAGAGGGTACAAAACTGGTAAGGCCATTCAGAAAGTGCTTGAAAGTAACAAACCTGGTGGTTCTGTATTGTCCTTAATTGTATTAATCTTGTTAAATTGCCTTTTGCAATGTCACAGAAGACAGGACCACAGAAGTAGGGTAAAATTTAACAGCAATAACTTAATAATTTTATATTTGCCCAGTGCCATTTAATACCTTTTTGCTTGAGAAATTAATAGAATACTTTTAAGTGCGGTTCTGTTTTGAAAAATGACTGGAAGAATGACATTTCATTCACCTGTTCTGTCCGTTGGATGTATTCTGAGGCCTTGTCTACATTACCGGGGTAAGTCGACCTAAGTTACGCTACTCCAGCTACGTGAATAATGTAATTGAGTTCAATGTAGCTGAGGTCGACTTACTGCGGTGTCTTCATTGTGCTGCGTTGACGGGAGATGCTCTCCCATCGACTTACCTTACTCTTCTCGTTCCAGTGGAGTACCAGGCTCAATCAGAGAGCACTTTGCTATCGACACCTGCTGAATCAATTGCAGCCGTGTCCATCTCCCTGGTAGTGAAGACAAGCCCAGAGTTATAACTGCTTTCTTTAGTAATACAAGTATGTTTTCGCTGTTTTTTAGGCCTGTAAACTATGCAGCTGTGGGGGAGAGTGAGTTAGATTCTATTCCTTCTTGTGCATCATCAGCAGACTTGTTTGCTAAGTTCCAGTCGGTTACATCTGTGTAACAGTCAAGGTGGGTGAGTTAATATCTTTCATTGGACCAAATTCTGTTGGTGAGAGAGACAAGCTGTCGAGCTTACACAGAGCTCTTCTTCAGTTCTGTATAAGCTCGAAAGCTTGTCTCTCTCACCAACAGAAGTTGGTCCAATAAAAGATATATTACTTCACCCACCTTGACTCTCTAATATCCTGGGACCGACACGGCTATAAGAACACCGCATACAACATTTGTGTAACCTCATTCAAGTCAAAGGGGTTGCACAAGTATTAATGAGGACTGTAGGGAGCCAGGGTGGCTGTCCTCCGAACCTGAGGGTAAAGGGCCGCTCTCTCAGCCTGAGTGGGCGGGGCCAGGCCAAGCTTGCTCCACCCCCCCGGAAGGGGAGGGGTGGAACAGGAAGTATAAAGGGCGGGGTCCTTAGCTCAGTCAGGGCAGCACCAGGAAAGGAGGCAGACGCAGACCGCGGGCTGCTCCCTTCAGACCCTGCTGCCACGCCAGGGGG